CGTCAGATGCTTTCGCCGACACCGACCGCATGGGTATCGGCGGCTGGCTCAGCACTTCATCGCACTTCGTGTGGTATAGCGAGATCTTCACAGCCGAAGAGGTCCGCGCTGAATGGCCTCAACTGCACGGTTCCATGCAAAGCTACATAGCCTGTTTCGAAGCATTGGCACAGCTTGCGCTGGCCCATTGTTCATGGGCCCTACTTCGGCATAAACACACGCGTTTCGTGCTTCCCAGCGCCAGCGACAACACCTCTGCCGAGAGTGGCGTCAACCGCCTGTTTACGACAGCAGAACCGCTCAGCACTTTTCTGCGCCTCGCCGCCACCTGGGCGCACCTGCACCGTGTCCAGTTCCAGGTCGAACACTTGGCTGGCGAAAAGAACACCTGGGCTGACGCTCTCAGCCGCGGACGCCTTGCCTTTATTAAGCACCGCAGTGATGAACGCGTACGCATCAGCCTTGCACAGCTCGCGTCTGCTTCGCATACAGTTTCACTTCGAGGGGAGGAGAACACCTTCCCCCCTCGCCTCTGCGAGGCACAGCGCAGCCTACTGCGTTGACCTTCTCACCGTCGTGAACGAAAAACTCTGCATCAGAGCTTTGCCCCTGCACGCCTTGTGCTCTGGCACGTTTCTTGCTTTCTCTCTGTCCGTCCCGGCAGGTCTACTTCTCCATCCTCGTGCGAGGGGGGTTTCTGAGCCCGCAAGGCAGAGGATGCTGAAGTCGAACTAAAGAGGGGGAAAGGAGCTCGGCAACGCATTGCCCCGCTTCTCCTGTCTCTGGGCATCGCATTGCCTCGCACCGACTTCAAGCATCCTTCGCGAGTAAAAAAAGAGAGCGCTTCCTCGCTTTGTTACTGCATCGCTCTAGCAAACTCACAGTACTCTTACTGAGAACGCTTGTCGTGAGTTTGTTGTTTTGGTCGACAGTGTTTTCTGTAAGTACTTGAGCTTGCATTGCTTCGCCCCGCGCCGCACTGCTAGCTCAAGCTGTCGACCCGGATCGCTTCCGTACTTAGCTTTTTTCACCCACCCTCCCAACCCGGGGGAAAGGAGCTCGGCAACGCATTGCCCCGCTTCTCCTGTCTCTGGGCATCGCATTGCCTCGCACCGACTTCAAGCATCCTTCGCGAGTAAAAAAGAGAGCGCTTCCTCGCTTTGTTACTGCATCGCTCTAGCAAACTCACAGTACTCTTACTGAGAACACTCATTGTCTTGGGTGGCTTTGGGTGCCGACCCACTGTCGTCTTTGCTGAGTCGCTGGCAAGGCGTCTCTTTGTTTTGCTGAACAGCTCCTGCTGACGAAGTCCGCGCGCTGCAGCAGGTACGTAGCCATCGCTTGCTAATTTACTCACCGCTGTTTTCTTACGTGTTTGTTTGTTTAGCTGCGAGGTTCGCCGACGCTAAAAACAAAATTCACACATTGCGTAGATCTGGAGCTGCCAGGTCATTGCCGCATTTTGCACTTCCATGTTCACAGCCGCCTTTTGCCGTAGCGTTGCCCAGCCGTGCGAAAAAGAGAAAAGATTTTGTTGTAAGGCCAACAATGCATGATAACGGACCTGATTTGCAATTCACCTGCACTTACACATCAAGTGCTGTTTCAATGAACGGTTTCTTCGGGTTGGACCAGATGCCGTCGACGACTTGACCACGCCAAAAAAATGGATTCCGGACAACTTTAAACTCTGAGTTCGAAACTTGGACATAAATTCAGAGCTGAACTCCAAACCTCCTGGAGTTCAGCTTTGGGTTCGAAGAACTCTTGATTCTGAGTTCCTAACTCTCTTTTCTAGAATTCTGGAACTCAACGTTCCGAAGTCGAGGCGATTTTTTTTCGTTTTCAGCCCAAAGCGATTCGTGTGCATTCTCCTTCTTTCGTGTTGGAGAATGATTTCTATGTTTCATTTGACGCGATTTTTCGTGTGGACTTCTGCTTCTTTTCATGTTGGAACTTTCGCTTCCAGTCAACTCTTCCTTGCTTTGCCTTTTCTTTTTCTCTAAAGTTTTCGTGTGGGTTTTTTTTTGTTTTGTTTGTGGAGAAAGATTTGTCTTTGTTTGCTTTTCTTCCAAACCGCCCTAAAGCGATTTCGTGTGGACTTCTCCTTCTTTCGCGTTGGGACTTTCACTTTCCAGTCGATTTTTTCTTGCTTTACTTTTCCCTCCAATGCCTTCTTCTTGCGTTTTCTTTTTTGAAACCCCCTAACGCGATTTCGCGGGACTCTCCTTCTTTCGTGTTGTGGAGAAAGATTTCTGTATTTTCCTCTCCTTGTTTCGTTCGTGGAGAATGCTTTTTGTGTTTTCTTTGTTTTCATCAGATCAGCAACCCAGATGGCTTTCTTGTCACACACATCCTGCCATCTTCGCTGCTCGGCCATCGCAGCCCAGCTCGCTCACAGCAAATAAGATTCCTAATTGCAAGGTTTAGCCAGGAAGCTCAATCCTCTCAGTTGTTTGTCGAATGCACTGAAGCCATGAAGCTGTCAGCCTTTTTGCCGCTTTGTCCCCGTGTCTATTCATTAGGCATACATGTCTCGTAGAGCCAAGAGCATGTGCATCGGCTCCTTCTCATTTTTTTCTGTGATGGAGTTCTGTTGCAGAGCGTTTCCAGGTCTTCAAAGAAAGCGCAAGGGTGCGTTACATCAACAGATACTGGCTGCTCTTCTGTCTTCAAGGCTCAGCACAGAAAGTCTCGTTAAGCTTTTTTTGGAAATCTTACAAAGAGACCTCAGAGGAACCTTATGAAGCTCTCTTCCGTTAGCGCGGACGCCAAAAACGCTATGCATAAGCATAGGCAAGCCCACGCAGCTTCCACGCAGCTAAGTGTCTCCGTGCTTCTTCCAGCATCCAGCCGAAAAACAGCTTTTAGTTCACTCCCAGCTGTTGCTGGCGATCCTTTTATACGGCTCAGGTTCGCAAACATATCTTTTCAGTTCGCTCATGAATATGCGCCCAAACTCTTGTCACCCTCCCACCAAATAACTCATTTCATCGCGACGGTTCTGCTTGTGCCAGGTATAGACACGCAGGCTCGTGGGAGCATGTAGCTACCTTTCAGGCAGAACATGCTTACAGACGTTTACACAGACGATGCGTTGGCAACCTTCGCCAACATTAATTAGGCCGAACTTGTTATGACATAGCCCTGTCAGCGTCGCACGACCGTACCTTCTAACTCCCCGCTTCCTGGTGTCCACCAGATACACCATGCAATACATCATCATCCCATGGAAAAATGGTGGCTGAACCTCATTGTAAAGTTTCGCAAAACAGATGTATGGCGGACTCTACAACTTTTATTTGGCTTAGAACAGACAAGCATGGGCCCATGTAGATGCTTTACGTTGGACGGCTGGTAGAGTTGCTCTGCGTGATGCGTGACTGAGACTGAGAGAGAGAGAGAGAGAGAGAGACAGAGACGGACAATGTACACCTCACCCGTTTTCGTTCCAAAAAGAGAGCGTAGCTAAGGTTAACGATCCAGTCCAAAGTTTTTTCGCTCCTTCGGCCGCTTAAGAGAGTGTCGAAGAGCTGAACGTTCCGCATCCGAATCTTTGTGTGCTTATTTGACCGCTTAAGAAAGCTGCGCTAAGCTCGAGAAGCTTTTGTGCGCAGATTGCAGCCAGCTGGTTTGCTGTGCCTTTTTCCGGGACCTGACGGCACACACGGGCCCAGTCCGCAGCTGCTGCTGCGCAGTGTGCCAGCTGCTCGCCGTGCCTTCTCCCGTAGAAGCCCTACATCCTGATATACTATTGCTACACCTGCTGTGGTGCGATGAGTAGACTACTCGTACACTACACTGTGCCAGTGCTAAAGATTAGTCAGTACCTTACTAGAGCAACCCAAACCCCGCGGAACCTTAAACATCCAAACTCAAGAAGAAGCCTCGCGAAGCCATCCGACCACTCTCTTTGCGCCTGCCGGCGAGTCTGGAGAAGTGTGCGGCCCGCTGTGCCGGCGCCTGAGAGGAGTTGGAGATGGTTGGCTTTTGCTGTAATGCGCTAGCTTCCGGGGTTGCTTGGACACACGGGGCGCGTCGGAAACCGAAGCATGGTTGCGTGCAGGATTGCGGTGCTTGGATAGTCGTTTGCCACATCCCAACCCTCAAGTCTTAACCCTGACTGCAGCAGTTGCGGATAAATTCCGACTAGCCCGGCTTGAATTATCTACGCTCCATTAGGGTTTCATGGAAGTGCACACGCCTTTTCGTTGTGTGCTCTGCATGGTCCCTTGCCCTCAGGCCATGATCGCTGCATGAGATCCTGTGAGTGTGGCTTTGTCTAAGCAACAAGGATGTTGTAAAGGGACCCGCTACAAACAAGCGGCGGCCAAGAAGTTCTTGCTTTTGCAGCCGACGAACTTGTACGACACCGAAGAGCCACAAGAGGGCAATGCCCGGCGGCATAAAGCGGTTCAAGGATCACGGATTGAGTTATCATAGCGAAAACAACAGGAGCAGCAGCGGCAACGTTTGTGGCAGGGTATGGCAAGCTTGGCGTTGGTGGTGACGGTGAGTGCTAGTACTTATACCTAGTAAAGGATGACAGGCAGAGGTTCGGCTGAGGGATCCTCGCAGGTGAGCCGAAAGTAGCACCCGCGCAGTTTGCACCTTCTTTCCTGTCTTGGCTGCTCGAAATCAGACTCAGGTCTCTTTCGCATCGAGCTGAGCGAGCTGATCCAGGAGGGATGAGGCCAAGCACAGGGCTGCAGGATTTGCGGTGAAAGTCTGTTGCGATGCAGGTTGTTTTGCAGTTTTCCAGTATTGCTGTTTCTCTAAGACAACCCCATGACGACTTGTGGCGATGAGGCTGAATGTTGATGCGAGCCCTCTCATTGGCATGTCTTGACATGTGTTTGGGCTAGTTTTGCTACTGGTCTGGCTTAGTTCTGAACTGGCTTTGAGTACTTTGGCAGCACAAATCAGCGGCGTTCCAGCTCAAAGAGAAAACAATCTCAGACTCGTAGGTCCGAGGCTTCTTGCCCGAGAGCTCATTTGCAATGATTGGCTTTCTTGTACGCGTTGCCGCCAGCACCGTGAGGAAGCTGAAGCCTCCTTTGCATCGCATGCAGACTAGAGCAGCAGGGGCAGGCTATGCGCCCGAGGTCAGCAAGCCGGAAGTTGCAGATTTGCTGCTGAAGCCTGACGCTGAGTTGGCAGATCAAGTCTGCCAGAATCAGCATGCAATGCATTTTCTTCAAACGCTGAAGATCATCGGCACAGTGAATCATCGCTTGAACGCTATTCGCTTCATCATGGGTGATCAACTGAAATCGTTGAACTTGGAAGCTGCCATCGAGTCTGCAGAGGCAGCTGCTGAGCAGGCAGAAGACAAGGGCCTCTTGCAAGTTAATGCGGTGTCAGAGCTGAGGATAATGTGTGAGCAGCTGATGTCGCTTCGGCATCAGATCGAACGTGAGATCAAGCAAGGGAAACAGTCCCGCAAGGATTATGCAAAGCAAGTGGAAGAAATCGTGTGGCCAATTCTGAAGATGCTGGAAGCTGTCAGTGTGCCCGGGAAAAATCAGATCAATCTGGCATACAAGCAGGCTGAAGCTCTGTTCAAAGAAGTGGTCACTAAGTGCTTCTCGGACTTGAAAGAGAAGGCCTACAACGACAGACTCCTCAAGGCAGAGGGGCTTCTGCTTGATGCCACACGCACAAGTGAAGAAAAAGAGCAACACTTGGAAGCGCTGCGTAAAAAGCTGCACAAAGCCGAAGCAGATGGAAGTGCCATGGAGGATAAAGAAAAGCGTCTCCTCAGTGCAGAGGAAGAGCCGGGCATCCAGATCAGTGTTGCCAAGCAAGAGCTTCAGGCGATTGAAGAGCGCTTGCGCAGGTATACATGGAACAAATGGGGCCCATATGTGGAGGCGTGGAAAAGAGATGTGGAGCTGGCCGAGAGGGAACGGTCTGAGAAGTTGCAAGAGATTGCCAATCTAGAAGAGAAGCGGCAAGGCCGAAAAAGTCAAAGCGATGATTTCGCTGGGATCGGCGGTGTGAAGGCACAGACAATTGCAAGCTTGAAGGTCATACGAGATGAGTTGCAGACGGCCGAGAAGTCTGCTCAGAATGCACGAGAGAAAGTCAAGAGCGCAGAAGCGGCGCTTAGCCAAGTTTGGTCCGAAATTGAAGAGGAGCTCAAGAAGGCTGGCGTCATGGATGCCAAGCAAGCCATGATGGTGAAGTTCATGGCTGCAACGTTGCAAGCGGACTTGAAAGTTGCAAGAGTCATGGAGCGTCTGAGGTCACCGGTGTTCTTAGGCCTTGTGAAACAGATGGGCTTCCTCATGCAGGACGTGAGCGCAGCCAAAACGCCGAAGGAGCAGGCAGACGCAATTTGCAACCTCCTCAACGAAATCCAAAGCGGTGATGAAGTCAACGCACAGATGCCTGCCTGGGTGGTTCCATTGAGGCTCACCGAGTGCATCTGCTTCCACAAGCTGACCAGGCTGGTCACCTCCGCTTTGGCAACAAGTGCAACAGATGTGGCTCCATTGCTCCAAGACTTGGAACAGCGTGCCCAGAAACAGCTTGAGGAATGAACACAAAGATGTTCACTACTGCTAGAGTTTGACGAGAAGTGTATCTTACATTTTATGAAGAAATATACTTACATGCAAATACATGATAAGACATGTATGCGTTTGAGAGCAAGAATCTCCAAACCTTTCCGCGGCTGAGCTGCCTGGATGTGGTACGTCCGATGCGGCCGGCAACGTCGGAAGTTTTGACTGCAGACTTGATGCCGTAGAGTTTAGGATTCAGGATACCTTTGGGTTTAACATGGGTTCGGGTTTTGGGCTAGGCGTTTAGGTTTGGGTTCTGGTCTGCGTCTCGTGGTCTGCATGGTGGTTGGTGAGAGACACCGGAAGGTTGCGATGAAAAGAAGGGCTCTTTGCCTCATCTGGCGTTGCTGTCATGGAACGCTGCAGCTTGTGGAAGAATCGCAGTAGCAATGTCAATTGCAACTTGGACGTGGAGAAGCTCCGTAAGTGGATGAGCAGTAGATCGAATCGTTCTTGTCAAGCCCCCGTGCTCGCAACAAATTGCAGAATGCCTGTGCAGGTCCACCAGCTGCTCTTGAGTGTGCCCAGACAATGCAGAAAAACAGGAGACGAGTGCTGTTCGAGCATGAAGGGTTTCGGAGGCATGCAGGATGCAACAGAAGTGGATACAGTACAGGGAGATAAAACCGTACACGGTACCCTAATCTCCCTACATGGGTTTCTTGCCTGGCCAGCCAATATCTTCCATTCTCTACCCGGGAGCACGAGTATCGACGCATTCGTCTCCACGCGGCCTGCAGGAAACTTGCCAGGAAGATGTGGATCATCCAGGGGAAATGACTGCAAAGGATGTAAAGTTGAACTAAACTTGAGCTTGCAAAGTGCTGCTTGGAAGTTTACAGAAAGGCCTGATGACACAACTTGGCTGCGACGTGAGTGAGAGCTTTCTTTGAACAGCGTGGTGGCATATCAGCACTGGCTCGAAGCTCTTCATTCATGTAGCCCGTCCTCCTGGGCACTCGGCAATCTCAGCTGAAGTTGTGTGCGTGGCGAGACATGTCAAGGTTTCACATAAGAGTGTCCCGTTATCGTTACGAGTACGTCTGGTCATGTCTCCAGTATGTACCCACAACGGCTTGCTTCCTAACTTTTGCATGTTTATCTGGCATGTAAAGTGCTGTTGCATCGTCGAGCACATGTTTCGTTGAACGTCAATGTGTCGATGCGATGGTCGTCCCCGGGCTTCTGGAGACGATGTCTCCCCGAGGCTGTCATGCAGTCTTCGTTGCCGTCAGTGGGTCGTCTGAACGGTTCGGCTGACACGTGCCAGGAGACGTCCGCAAGGCGAAGAAGGACTGGGCCTCGCCTTTCGAGTACATCGTCGAGAAGATGGGCGCCGAGAACCTGAGGATGACGCAGGGTCGCTTGCTGGCAGCGCCTTGAACTTCAGAAGAACCCACAGATACACATGACCACAGATTTGACGTTTGTGCAGCTGGGCCTGTTAGTTCTAGGTCACGGCCTTATGAAGTTGAGACGAGTTGAAGGGCGAACGGTGTTGCATTCTCGATTGTTCTGGGCTGGTGTATGCAGTCCGTCTAGAGACGCGAGCTGGTTTCTCAGAGGTGTCCCGACCGTAGACTCTAGACAACCATCGGCTCAAGTTGTTCTTTCACCACAGCCTCTGTTGCAGGTCACACATAGGATTGCGTAAGAATTTGCCATGGTGCCCGCATGTTGAAGCTACCCGCCCGCCGCAGATAAAATCCATTGATGACATGTTAGACATCATGGCATCGTAACTTGAGGCTCTTCTGCCTGAAATGTCGACGTGCCCCGGGCCGTTGGAGCTAAGTTCACTTCTTTTCTTACCTTTGGTTAGTAGGGAATGGAGGAATGGACTACCATTCTTCCATTCCTACTAACCAAATGTAAGTTTTACTCATTTCTCTGGGCTCCTTGAGGCTCTGGTCTTACTATTGGTTAGTAGGGAATGGAAGAATGGTAGTAATAGTAGTTATATTTGTACCCCATTCCTCCATTCCCCAGTAACCAAGGGTAAGTTTTACTCATTACTCTGGGCTCCCTGAGGCCCTGGTAGTGTTTTATGAAACACTCCTTGAGGCTCTGGTGTGGACCTCGGTTCTGGGCTCCACCGTCTACCGCCGCTTCGACCTGGGCCGCCTCCGCTGGGCCCCGTGGACGCAGAGCGGAGATCGCTTGAGGGCTGGTTCGGCTCCTGGCTCCTTCGGTTCGAGGGGGCTTAGGGCTTGGGGTTGAGGGATTTAGGGGTTTGGAGTTCAGGGGTTCAAGGTTTAGGGCCCAGGGTTCAGGGTTGATGGATTTGGGGGTTTAGGGTTTAGGGGTTTAAGGTTTAGGGCTTAGGGTTTAGGGGTGATGGGTTTAGGCTTTAGAGTTCATCTTCAAGGTGTTTATGACGTTTAGATTGGGACACGGGCCGGAGGTGTTGATGCTGCACCACCTGCTGGCAGCCCTTGGGTTAGATGAGGCGAGCGAAGTCTGCTCCGAGGGTTTGGGGACAGTTGGAGCTTTTGGTTGCCATCTGTGGTGTGGCCCTATATGTGGGAGTGCCAGTTGCAGGGTTGCAGGCCATGTTCCAGTCACCTTTTATCGCAGTTGAGCTTAGATCTCAAGTAAGGTTTGAAGGCCCTAAACGTTGTTGCGTTCCCGGCTCTTGGTCATCGGGTGCTCTCGAACATCGTGACATTCATGGCATGTTAGCGCGCACATAGAGAGCAGTTCTGGGGCAAGCCAGTTGCTTTTGGGATAAGGTGGTTCTGAAGTCTTTCCGGCCAGGCCTCCCAGACGGACTTCAGCCGAGCTTGTATGGCCTTCAGATGCACGAGTCGAGTCATGACTCCGGGTACCTTGTAGAATCTTCTATTGGAGTCCGTTCCGAAAGTATACCGAAGCCCTACTGTAGGACCTGAACCCTTAACCTCAAACCCTAAAACCCCGAAACCGTCTTCTTCGCCGAATGCCAGGCTCTGCTCATGTCCTTCTCCGCGCAGGAGCCCTTCGCGCTTCGACTCCTCCGCCCAGGCGCCCCGTTATTTCACTTCGCAGAAGCAGTCTTAGGGGTCCAAGGTTTAGGGGTTTAGGGTTCAGGGGTTTAGGGGTTTAGCGTTTAGGGTTTAGGGGTCGGTCCGGGGTTTGGGGAGTTTAGGGTTTGGGGTTTCGGGTTCCCCGCCAGTCAGGCTCAGGAGGAGGGTCATCCTGTGCCTCCATACGCCCAGCGCATGGCGAGGTGCCGTGGTAACTCCTTGGGCGCCTTCGTTTCTGCCAAAGCAGCAGAGTGCCCCTGGACTTATGATGGAGGTTTGTATGCGACAGCACAACGATGTAGGAAAATTGTAAACGTAGCCTCAGTTGCAGCCTGTCGATCCACTCTCTTGCGATGAGTCTCTCTTCTTCTGCTTCTTGTCATATTGGCCCCGACGTTCTTTACGTGGATGGACAGCCGATCAGGTTTTAGGGGCGACCGCTTACGCTTCCTTTGTGATCCTTGCAATCTACCAGCTGATCCTGTATCGCGTCAGCGACCAGGACTCAGGTGGCTTAGACATTTCACGTTGTTGGGAAGTTTCAACATATGTTGCTAGCCACGAATGGACCCGAGCGAAGACTGGAGCTGTCCAGAGATCTGCTAGGTGTCAGATTCGGCAGTTGCTGGTGCATTGGCTAATGTTGGTGTATCTAGCAAGTCGGAGACTCAACTTCCACAGACCCTAGGCAATCTGTCAGCCCCACTCTTTAATCCATATCCTTCGCTTATGGTGCCGGCATGCACAAGAGCTTTCATTCCGGGGACGACCGCCGCACCAATGGAGGATGTTTCCGTCTTCCTGGCTCTCTTTCTGCTCGCCTGCATCTTTGCCGCTCGGCTTATCTCCCCTCTTCTGCAAATGCAAACTGGACTTGGGGACGCAACCAGATGCAGCGTGAGTGCGACCTTCCCAGACCCCCCTTCTTTCCTTTCTCTCGCCTTGTTCCAAATTCCGACCCCAGACTCGCGCCCCCAGGATCGGGGCCTCTTCCACTCCACTCGACCCTCCGACATCCTCAAGTTCCTGGCCGCCACGCTGCTGCAGGAGCGGAGGGGTGCTGTGGGTTTTCGGAGACGCCGCGTGCTGCTGAGGAGGCTTCGTTTGACAATCTAGCTCGAGTATCACCTGTGAACCTGGGGTCCTCTTTTTACAATCCCCCTGAAATTCTCAGCCTCAGTTGCTGAAGGTGAGGTGGGCCGGGCCGGGTTGTTGGGTCTGCAACATCATATTCCATTGCCCTGTCGACCAGCTGTACTCCGTAGTTGTATCTTGTTGCCCGTTCGTTGCCCCAGGAGCCAGCATTGAATGTCTACACCCTGCTGGCTTGTCTGTGTCTCTCAAAGCAAAAAGAGCACTTCAGATTCTAGACTTGCGAATTTCACAGACCTTGTTGGAGTGTTTCGGAAAATGTCGCAATCTGGTTTGTTAAGGTACTTCTGGTCCGGCCTGTACAAGCTCCGTGGTTTCTTCCATGGCTTCATGTTCCAATACCAGTTCCTCAACTTCTCAGCCATCTCCTGGTACTTCCGCCGCCTGTATCTGACAGAGGAGCCGACGTTCATCGCTTCACAGCCTCTCAGCCGGAGGTTTTTCGTAGGCTCTATGACCTGGAAGCTTCGTCCCAAGTTGGTCGCGGCAGACCATCGACGCAGGAGTACCTTCCACGGCCTGCAGTTTGTGCATTCGGGGCGGCTTGCCTGCATGCCGTGCCTCACAGTGATGAACAGTCAAGTTACGACGAAGGCAAAAATACCACAAAGATGTTGACTATGACGATGTCGGTAAGGAGAAGAACAAGAGCATGGCGCTGACGAGTATGATGGCAATGATGATGACGACGATGATGTTGACAAGGTTCAGTCACTAAACACCAAGAGCAACCACTCGCGATGCGTTCGCTTGTTTTCACTTTTTCGGTTCGACTTGGTCTCACTGCCAGGAGAGAGTCGTCGTCAGATCAGACCTTGAAGGTCAAAATTATGGTCCCTTTGTGGGTCCCTGATATAGTACGGCACCTAATATTTAGGGATCCCCAAAAGGGACCATATTTTGACAACGACCCACATCCCAGCCAGAGATAACGACCCACATACCAGCCAGTGATAACGGTTGATGATATAAATCCTGCATTACCCATAATAGGGAATCTACCATAATTCCCATAGTTTAGGGTCCTTAAGGTAATGCTGGATTTATATCATCAACACTAACCAGTGCCGGCCTCGAACCTCGAACCTTGGCTCTTGCGGATGCCGCCTCTGCATTCCACGCCGAAGGCGGCCGGGACTTGGATCGAGATGTTGGCCGGGCTCGGCCACTGGGACAGGGAGAGATCGGTGAGATCCAAGCAAGTTTCAGGAAGTTGCACTAAATGATAGTTAATGTCCATGGAAGGGAGCGGCTCAGCGCTTTGTGTAGCTGGAATCGTCAGGTAGCGAATTTCTCGCATCGTTCCGATCATTCCGCTTTTGCTTTGAAGTCGGTTTTCAGCGGATGAAGCCGGATGTGTCCTTCTGGGTTTGCTCAGGGATGGTCCTGGGGGCGCTCCCCGGATCTGCGGAGTGGTTCATCCTCCTGGCATTGGCGATGCACGTCTTCATCTTCTTCTTCGGCATGGGCCCCTACCGCTGGAATGTGATGACCATGCCTGCTGCTCCAAGTTTGAGCATGGGTTCTCTCTTTGAGCACCCCACTGCTTTCCTGGCACACTCCGAACTTGTGAACCCTATACCCTGAAGGCCCCACAGATCTCTGATAACTTGAAAAGCTGCTGAGGTACATGTTGGTCTGCTCTGGGAAGCTCTGCCTGGAGCAGGGCTTCTCTGGCCCTTTGTCGCTCTGGAAGGATCCCGGGAGCTCGGGGCTCTACGTCTTCATCTTTGGTGTGGGGATCCCTTTCATCGGAACTTTGGACCCCCAGACCCTCGGCCGCTACTTCGGGGGCTACCGTATGGCGACCTTCCACTTCGCGGGCAACGAGACCTACCGGGCTCTGCTCGTCAAGAAGGCCGTGGTTCTGGCCGAAGATGGGGGGCCCCTGGGCGATTTGGGCCCGCTGGGGCAGCTCCTGCGAGATCGGGCCAAGGGCTACGAGCGCCTGACGCAGGACGAGGACATGTTCACGGCGCTGCTCTACGCGGATGGGCTGAATGTGGAGGGCTCTCTGAGACGGGGCTTCCAGGCGCCTTCAGGGCTCACAGACTTTGAGGACTTCGATCGCACCTACATGTTCGTGCCGATTACATGGCTGAACTGCCGCGGACCTCTGCTCAACACAAAATGGGACGAGAGCCTCCCCGTGACGGAACGCTTTGTGGAGTTGGTTTGTGAGACCTTGGCGCTTTGCTCGGCTTCCGACGAGCCAAGGCTGGCAGAAGGGACGGCCCTCCAGTTCGTGGCGCACGTGGTCCCCTGGCTGGGCGGCCGGACGAAGCGCTTGGAGCTTTTTGACCTGACGGCCTCCAAATGGTCCACACGACGCTGGGTGGACAACGTGGAGCTGCCTTGGCTGCCCCAGAGGCTTCGGAGCATGGCCCAAAGTGGCTTGCAGAGCTCCCTGCTGTGAAGAAGGTGCTGCCCGCGTCACATCGAGGAAGGTAGAGCAAGAGAGTCTCGTCGAGCTTAGAGGACGGAAGTGTGAGTTCTGGAGTTGGAAGCTTAAATGTCCATGGACAATGACACGAAGTTGCTTCAACCAAAGCCGTCATGTGATCAAGCAGATTCCACACAATACCCTCGGACCCCACTCACCTCCAGCCATTCACCACCGCCAGTCCCAGTAGTCAGCACCAACAGGGATCCAGGGATCCGGCAGCATCGTTACGGACGTCGCCATGCACATGACATGCTCCAAGACAAGGAGACAACAAGAAACGCTGATGATGCAGATCACGGCACCATGATGATCACGAGATCGTCGCAACGCTTTGAGGTTTAGTTTTACCTGCAACAGCATCATTGTTCATAATAGGCGCTCGTAAGCCTAGCTAGTAGGAGATAGTTTTATGGGTGTGATCCCACCGCCATCGCCATGCCGCCCGAGCCCTGCGAGCTGCCGGAGGCTCTCCAGGAGGAGCTGGAGATCCTCAGGGTAGCCTGGAAGCACTGCCTGAATATCTACCTATAAATTATATATGCCTGTATATAATCAAGGTTGGAATTATTTTTACATATTTATATGCATATGTGTCTAGATTAGTAGATACCATATCATATCATATCATATTATATCATGCACAGCATAGCATTGCATAGCATTGCATAGCATTGCATAACCCATCAAATCAAATCAAATCAAACCGTATCAGATTGTTCATACCATATCAGACTTTTAAAGAAGAGTTTGAGGGTTTGAGAAGAGTATGTTCCTGTATCCTAACCTACCTTGGCAAAAGGAGTGCAAGACATCTGTCGGCTGATGCCGGTCATGCTTGCCCTTCGTCCGTTTGGTGCTCATGATACCCGGAATGATGCTGGATGTTCTCTGCACCGTCAAAGGCATAAAGGCATTGGTCGGCGGATGCTCCCGGATTGATGGTGGCTGTCTCGATCGGTGTGTTAGGCGTTTGTCGGCTGATGCTCATAACTCCGGCCATGCCACGGGTCCTGCAGTGCTCACGATGGTGCTACATCTTGGCCATAGCTCTAAGTAGCTTCAACTCCACAGTCTCAAGGCCATCTATGGAGACGAGACGGTGAGGCGCGGGGAGCAATGCGGACAGCAAAGATCACCAGGGATCCGTCTCCTGCAGCAGCGTCTTTCAGAGAGAGGGCGTGGGTTGCTCCCGATGATGTGGTTGTGAAGTTAGCACATTCTGCAGTGCACTCGGCCTGAAGCGGATCTCCAAGTCTCCCGCTGAAAGGCTTTTGAAAGAGAAGAGGATCCAGGATGACGGCGAGGAGCATTGGCTCGGAGTAGCGACACCTCGTCCAAATGTCACCCTTTGACTTACCTTTGGTAAGTAGGGAATGGAAGAATGGTAGTAATAGTAGTTATAATTATACCCCATTCCTCCATTCCCTACTAGCCAAAGGTAGGTTGATTGCACCTTCAAGCATCCTGCTTACTTATGCTTTGAACAAGGAAGGTTGTAGTAGAGAAGAGTTGGCGGTGATGTTGCCATCCCTGTCTTCTGCATGGGACTCGTAGCTTCGACACCGTAGTACCGAGTCCCAGAGCCTAGAGCCCACACCCCCAAGCTTAGAGCTAGAAATGCTGACGGAGAGCCCAAAGACTTCCAGGAGCCAATCTGTTGCTTAGAAGTTGACCTCGAGCCGATGAGCGAGGAAGGCTTTCAGCTGGACCCGTGGCCGAAGACTGGTGATCATAGGGACCCTTGCAGGGGACTACACATCCTTAAATAGGTCTCACTAGGTTTTTATTATGGACACATGAAATGACATTTCATTGGGCTCTTGAGGGTCTTTTGGGTGCAAGCTTTTGGTTTCAGGGATCTCTTGGCGGGAAGGCCTTGCATGTGGTGAACCCTGGAGCTGAAGAGTCGGATGACCACTGAGCTCCCAATCATCGTTGGACCGTACTCCACCCGGTGTTGAAGACACGCTGCTCATTCAAGGTGTGGGTGACGCTGCTCGTGACAGTTCCGAAAGGATACCCACTGACAGCCACGCCCAAGATCGAGGCGCGCGGGGAAAGAAACGGTCAAACATTCCAGTGACTGGTTTTACGCTTAGTCTTCACGTTTGAGAGCGGGTGTCTTCGTGTTTCGGGTCTGAAGAAGCGATGGCTTGGAAAAGGTGCCACGGGGTCGCAATCACGGCAGAATTTCCGTGCCACAGTTGTTGCTTGTCTCTGCGGACACCGCAATCTGCTCTCACTAGGAATAGGCTGAAACTGCGCAAGGTCGACAAGTCGCGGGGGATCGGCGACGCCGCATCCTCAGTTTCGCTTGATGATGCCACAATGTGCCTTGTTGTGGGCGGATTCTTCAGATCATTGTTAGTTTTAGTTGGCAGTGGTGGCGGTCGAAGCTGCAATGGCCCTGTTGGAAGCATTGGACATGTGGCCCATGGCTGGGCTGCCAGGCAGCGACCGGGGCGATGATGGATGCTGCCCGGGGCCGAGAACCTCCACTCCACTTTGAAGCCGTGGTTAAAATGCTCGGAACAAGAGACGTCCGCACTTCAACAGCTGTCGGGTCCAATCGCAGGGCCCCATACAACACCAGACCGCTGCATTTTAAAGAGCTAGCTTACAAGCGGAGGAATGGGAACTACACTCAAAGCAACAGCACAGCAGCAACAAGCATCGAAGAGGAGCTGTAAGCTTGAACAATCTGCCGAGGCCAAGAAGGGCATTGAGCACCACGGGCTGCAGGACCCTCTTTCGGGGGTCGAAGTTCAAATGCATCCAGGTCTTGTGTTTTGAAACCACAAGTCCGGAGACTTTGAGGCTTCATTGCGAAGAGCTGCGACCTTGGTTCATCTCCTCGGAGCTGTCAGGAGCAGGGCTGCCTAGGGCCTATCCTCTCCGAGGCCGGGCGACGAAGACGAAGACGCGACGATAATCATGAAGGATACTGTGTTATGTGATGGCTGTGATGATGACCATGTTAGTGATGGCGACGTGCTGCCTGGGTCATCTATCTGCAGACGCGTGGTCTGTGGGTGAAGTGCATTGGCAGTGATCAGGGCGCCTGGACGTCGTGGGTTCAATGTATGCATGCATAGTAAGTAGGCATGAGGCCTGCCATGCAGGACTGGTGAATCTAGGATGCTTTTGCTGGATGAACTGGAGCCGATGTTGAAAGCGTGCCTGGTCCGCAGGTGAAGGACGCCCTGGGAAAAACGGTTCCTTAGCAGCAGCTCATGAGCTTCTTAAGGCCGCCTAAAGCTTCGACGGACTCTGTGGTGCCTAAGTCGGAGTGGTAGGAAAATCCATGATCTCCCAAGCCTCGCAGCCGAGGTCAGCGAGTGCTCCATTTGCATGGACGAGTGCGATCCAGGCACACCTTGTTGCCGTGCCCGCTTGGGGAGAGCCAAGCCAAATAATACTATAGTTATGATGAGGAACCCCCCACATTAGAATAGGTAATCACTTAGGGCCCGTGTTATAATGCTAGTATAATATACCCCCAGACCCATTCTAATAATCCCTTCTGAGCCAGGCTCGGCCATTTTCGTGGCGTGCAACTGTGTCTTCCACCGACACTGCATCGAGGAGTGGCGCGCACTCAAGGATGAGGCGAGCCCTGCTTTGGACTTCCTGCACGGGCTGCTTCTTCGGTTGGGGGGCCCCTGATTGCAGGAGAAGAGAAAGAAGGCGGATGCCGCCACGGCCCTCCTTGCCGGATTGAAACCTCGAGCCATTGCTTTTTACGGTCTGGGAACAGGCGAACGCGGTTGCCATTAGAACAACAGACTTCCTGTACCAGAATTCTCATTCACTCTTTCTCGCGGCTTCGATCCGGATTCCTGCCGCAGCTTGTGTCGCTCCTCTCGGTATAGCCTCACATATCCACCGACTTCTGTAGATTTGAGATTGGTGTGCGCGAGGAGCAGAGCTAATCGTGGTTGGGGGGTTGCGATCCCTGCTGGGGCCCAAAGAAGCGAGGTTGCCGCGCGATCAGGTTCCGAGGCGTTGGAACCGTGGTGACGGACATCAACTTTATTTGCCTATAGGGAGAGGCCACCTCTTGAACCTGATAGGAAACTGGCAGTTGTTGTTGCTGTGGCTCATGGCCTAGACTAGGTTCGGTCTCTTTGCTGCCACTCCTCGGTTTGGTCTCCTGAGCCTTTGAGATTCGATTTGGGTCATTCTGTTTTCCTACCGTTTTTGTCACTACCTACTGTTTCTGCTACGTAGTGTTTGTGCAGCTGCAAATTCAATGCTATCGGCATTGCCAGGAAAGCATCAAGTCGCAGCGAGATGCTCTGGAGAAGCAGCACAGAGCTTGGTGAGTGCAGGGACCTCTTCCGAGAGTCAGCCCGAACCGAAGAGCTCCGAAATGGCGAAGCAGTCAGCATTAGACCCTGCAGAAAATCATGGTGTGAGACTCAAGGTGTGAGGAGGCAGACTCCCAAGTGGAGGAGCAAGACAAGCAGGCGCCGCAGGGACGATAGCTTTTTGCGGAGCTGAGGCGGAGCGTGCACCGTTGCCGAAGATAGACTTTCCGCAGTCGGCTCCGGAAAACCAGTGGAATCCCACACCCTTAAACCCTTTGAATTCGCATGAACTCAAACTACGGGGAGTGGAGCCATCGTAACCCAAAAGGCAAGGTCCAAACAACAAGGACAGTCGCGGCCCAAGAACTCCTAAACCGTAGACCGCAACCCACCAAATATCTGGTATCCCAAATACGCAAATCCGACGTGCTGTGGCACTTGCATTCAAAGTCCGGAATCTTCATCACAGCATGCTTCCTGGGTTGCTGCACGCCTCAGGTCCAGATCCTTAGGCTGAAGCCCGAAATCCTGACTGCCAGCTGCACCACTTCCGAACACCCGAGATCAATGCCTAAGTCCGAATGCCTCTTGAGCAGGTGGCGTATGCCCAGCTACAGGTCGTCTCCTGGTTGCAACAGGGACGCAGTAGATCTTAGAGCCTTAGAACATTTAGCCCGTAATATCCCGTAACTCTAAGCGTCCAAATCCGAACATTGGGCAAGGGAGCATCAAGCAAGCTACAATCACGGAGCCCTTGTAAATTACATGTCGCTTGCGGTTGAGTCGAAGGGTTGGGCGTAGGAGGGGCTGCTGGTGCGGGTATAGCTCGGGATAAGTCCCGCTTGTTGGGGCCTGGAGTTTGGGGCTTCGGTTGACGTTTTCGTGCTGCAGGGTTTCTTTCCGTGGTTTCTTTCGGAGATGCTCGCCGCTATTTATCTTTATATCGAGTTCGTCAGTCCACATTCCTCGGCAATCCTTTCAAGAGCATAAGGCCTTCTGCCGCTTTACATTGTGTCATTTCGCTCAGGATCGAGCTGCCTCTGTGGTGGAGCAGGCGATGAAGAAGGCACTTCAAGCCATCACACCGAAAAGATGCACACTGTGTTGAGGTGTTGGCTACTTATGCCAGCGCAGCTTGGAGTCCAACCGATCCCAATTGTCCAACGACAATGCCATACGCTCTCCCTCATCATCGCTAAGCAATCCCGGCAGCGGGGCTTTGACTCATCCTGGTTCCATTTCCTGTTACATCCATGCTGCCGTGTCATCACACCTCATTTCTGGAGCCTTTGGCCCAAGGAGTTGGAACTGTAGCTGCTCAGAATCTACCCCAAGTTGGTTTCGCGGATCATGTTATCCTGCTTCTACCCTGATGTTCCCTCACACTCTAAACCCTCAACCCTTTTTGAGAAAAAGGAGCTTAGGAAAAAAAGACCCTTAACCCGAAGCTCATGAACTTTGTGCCGTCGCTGACCGTCCAAAACAGGCCCAGGCCGCTGCCAACGACGACGAGCCCGAGCCCTCGGAGCCCGAGAATGGCGAGGAGGAGGTGGGCATTTTGGAGGTTTAGGGGCTTTGGGTTTAGGGTTTAGCGTTTAGGGTCTGGTGGAGTGGTGATAGCTGTCGGCAGTTGCGTGCTTCTAAAAAACAAGCCTACGTGCATTCCTCGTCTCTTTCTTTATGCAGCTTCGCAAAGGCACATGTGTTGCAAACTCGGGTCTTCGCAGGAAGGCGACGAATCCGACTCGTCCGTGGAGCCCGATGTCATCGACTACCGCAACGAGGCGATGGCCCAACCCATTCAGGTATCTGCTTGATTGTCATTCTCAGGTCTTGAGAACGAAACCGTGTCACTGCTCGATTGCTCCAGAATGTATCCGACCCGAAGATGGGTTGATCCGGAATCACATGCCATCAGTTTCTTTTTGTTTCGCCTGGAGCCAGAGCTGCTTTCGCCCTCACTCTCTTAAAGCTGCAACTGGACACCATGTGTGTTTGGCGAGACAAGCACGAATTCTCTGTCAAAGCCCGAGCCGTGCTCCTTACCGATGTCAAAGCTGTCCACCCCATGCAGGCTCGCTGGGGAGCTCCGGAAGTGAGCCTGGGAGGTGGGAGATGATCCCAAAGTCGATCTTCTTTGCGTTATTTTATAGGGTTTAGGATGGTTCGGAGGTTAGGGTTTAGTCAAGGTGCAGGTCGCCATGCGGCATGCGGTGCGTGAAGTTAGGGAGATTTGCCCCTTCTCTCGCCATCGGAAGAAGAAGGCCTCTACCAGAACAAGCACACGAAGAAGAACTGGCATCCGAGCGTCCGGATGAACCGCAAGCGCCCGAAGAAGTACCTCAAACGCCGCGGCCTCGTCATCTCGAGCCTGCTGCGAACCTGCATAGTGTAACACATAGGAGGCTCAGGATAAGCGTAGGGGGTCTTTCCGTGGACCGGGCGTGTTGGACTGACCGCAGGGCGCCAACCTTATGGTCGTGGTTTGGGCTAGGAGTCTACGAGATGTCCACAAACACTGTCTTCCCTTGATGCATGCACGAAGGCCTTTGGAGCCGCTTGTAAAGCCCAGCCCCAAGCCGAGGCATCGATGAGAAGTTGGATGAGATGAAGAAGGCGCCGGCTTTGTTTTAGGGATCTGTAAGTTTGCTTTAGAGCTAGCCCAGAAGCACCAAGCTCCGCCGTCCTAGATCCTCTCTATGTTTCTCATGCGCGGACAAGGTCCGAGGATTCCATGAAGAATTACCCTAAACCCAAAACCCTAAACCCTAAACCAATTCTTGGGCAGTGGCGAACCCCAACTCGGTGGCCACAGCCACGAAGACCGGTTCCCTCGACCCTAAAACCACATGGAAGCTTCCGAATATTAGTGGACCCGCTAACATAGTACCCTAAATAGTAGGATCCTTATGACAAGGACCCCCAAGAAAAGGTATCCCTAATTTTTTGGAAACTCCTAGAGCGGGAGTTTCCGAAAATTAGGGGTACTTTACTTTGGGGTCCCTATAATAAGGATCCTACTATTTGGGGTACTATGTTAAGGGTCCCCTGATTTTCGCAGACTCCCCTCTTAGTCCCACCGGAAAGGAGGGCAAGAGGCAGCTCAGTGAGGAGATGTCGCAGGCCGTGACGAAGCGTCCCGCCCCAGAGTGGGGTGAAATGCAGGACCCTAAACCCCAAGCCAAAAGCCTTAAACCCTAAATCCGAAGCCCTAAACCCCAAACCCTAAATCCTGAACCCTAAGCCCTAAACCCCGCTCGAACCGGGTGTTGTGCCGCAGGCACGGCCGTAGGAGCTCCCCGCAAATGCTGTTTTTACTGGCAGGCGCGGCACTTTCGCAGTGTTGCAAGAAGAGAAACGTCCTGAAGTCCAGGTGGCTATTTTTTCAAAAATAGCCACCTCGGCTTTAAGCCGTTTCCAGGGCTTCAAAGAGCTTTGAAGTCGATTTGCTTGGCCAGCGTGGGACTTCGTGCATGTCGGAGGATTTTGGTGATTTGTTCGTGGGAGGCTGATTTTGGCAGAATTTGTGCTCTATGAATTGGTGTTTTTTTTTTGTGAAGTTCAAAGTATCGACCAAGGCTCCTTGTCGTGCAGCTGCTCATAAGGATGCTCTGCGGGCATGGATGGGGTCTGATCTGGACGTTATCATGGTTGGGACATGGATGCTCTGCGGGCCCTGGATCTGACCGGAGTGCATCTTACGAGATGAAACTACGAGGGGACGGAGCAAGACCGGATATTATGGCCAAAGAGCTAGAATGCTGGGACAGGTCAAGCCGGGGTTAGACCAATCCGATCCGGTCATCACACTGTCAAAGAACGATGGTTGCTCCGCTGCCGGAGTCGAGGGATTCCCCTGCTGCTGCCAGTCTGCCCTCACTGCAACCAGATTTCGGTTTCCCCTTGTCCCGTGCTGCCTGTTTTGCCGAGGGCCTATCGGGGACATCCGCGACTCAGACTCAGCAAGAACCAGTCAACATACCATGGATGGGGTCTGATCTGGACGTTATCATGGTTGGGACATGGATGCTCTGCGGGCATGGATGGGGTCTGATCTGGACGTTATCATGGTTGGGACATGGATGCTCTGCGGGCATGGATGGGGTCTGATCTGGACGTTATCATGGTTGGGACATGGATGCTCTGCGGGCATGGATGGGGTCTGATCTGGACGTTATCATGGTTGGGACATGGATGCTCTGCGGGCATGGATGGGGTCTGATCTGGACGTTATCATGGTTGGGACATGGATGCTCTGCGGGCATGGATGGGGTCTGATCTGGACGTTATCATGGTTGGGACATGGATGCTCTGCGGGCATGGATGGGGTCTGATCTGGACGTTATCATGGTTGGGACATGGATGCTCTGCGGGCATGGATGGGGTCTGATCTGGACGTTATCATGGTTGGGACATGGATGCTCTGCGGGCACGGATGGGGTCTGATCTGGACGTTATCATGGTTGGGACATGGATGCTCTGCGGGCATGGATGGGGTCTGATCTGGACGTTATCATGGTTGGGACATGGATGCTCTGCGGGCATGGATGGGGTCTGATCTGGACGTTATCATGGTTGGGACATGGATGCTCTGCGGGCATGGATGGGGTCTGATCTGGACGTTATCATGGTTGGGACATGGATGCTCTGCGGGCATGGATGGGGTCTGATCTGGACGTTATCATGGTTGGGACATGGATGCTCTGCGGGATCGGATACTGGGCACCCAGATGGGGTCCGAGTGCGGCGTAACGGCTGGTTCGAGGGCTAAACCCTAAGCCCTAAACTCTAAACCCTAAACCCCTAGAGCGTTTAGCGTCCATGGTTTCGGGCATCCGGGGCTTCGGAGCTTTGAGCCAAGTCGAAGGACACCGACTCTTAACGAAATCATCAAGATATTATCGTATATATTATAGTATATGATCTTATATTCTAGTATATTGTAGGTTATTATAGTTTATCATAGTATATTTTAGTATATTATGGAGCATACTATCGTATGTATTGTTGTATCTTCTAGTATACTGGAAGGGACCTTGGCTTCGGACCCGCGAAGCCGAGGTGGGAGAAGGCCCAGTTCGAGCAGAAGGAGGCGAAGCTCGTCCTGGACAAGGCCGCCTCTTGCGGGCAGGCGTCTTAGTTTAGGGTTTAGGGATTTCGGGGTCTTAGTTGAGGGTTTAGGGATTTCGAGGTTTAGGGGTTTAGGGCTTAGGGTTTTTCCCTTGTGTTATACTAGAAGGCACTCGGGTATAACTTACTGATACACTACTGTATACAATATAGCTTACTACTAGACTATAATCTACTATAGTGGTTTGAAAGTGGCTTTGGGGAAGGCGAGGGTGCTGGGGTAGGGGGCCAGGAGTGGAGGATAAGCACGGGAGGGCTTCGTGGTTGTTGAGAGTCAGGGTTGGGATTGGCTCACTCTCGATGAAGTTGGACGGATGACGAGAACCTGCAGGTCATCATGCAAATAGCCCCAAAGTTGTCTTCTGCACGTGTGAAGCAGCCGAGACCCATGCACCTCCAGAGAAGCCCTCAAAGTCCTGCTTTTCAGGAGGTGGAGACCTTGAAAAAGCTGAAGGACGGAGGGATGGCGATTAGCCCGATTTGTTTCCAAGAGAGCGGGTGCTTCGCCGTAGGCACAGGCATTCTGCGCTTTGCAGAGTCGCACTCTAAACCCGCAGCCGTAACCCATGTCGTACCGGAACCCTGGCAGAGAGCCCTGATACCGTGCGAAACGCCAGGAGCGCTCCGAGAAGCTGGTCGGGGAGCTGGAGCTGGGGCCGTGATTTCATCTAGGCTGTAGAATGTAAACCGTGATCTGGTGAGCAGTCATGACCTATGATGCAGAGTTGATAAGAGATGTGGTATGAGCTGTGATATATACGATAGCTATGCTAGAGGTTCTGAAAGAGCCTCCCCAGCACAGGAGTGGGTGAGCAACTACCTCGGCGAGGAGCGGGCGAAATTCACGTCCTTGCCCCTTCTCTGTGCCCTGGCCGCTTCGCTGGCGTCGGCCGGCAGGATCCCATGTCCGCCACCGCAACGATATGTTCCACAGCCCAAAGCAAGAGGCGAATCCAGACAATCCCTTGCAAAAACCTGCGCCGTGTGGCCATCTATCAACGTAACAGTAACATGGGGGTTTCCGGAAACTAGGGGTGCCTTATTTTGGGGTCCTTATAGTAGGATTCCTACCATATTTAGGGTACTGCATTATAGGGTCCCTTATTTTCAGAAACTCCCACATGGTTTCCCCGACGGCTCTCTTTTGCCAGGCAAGTGAATGCACGTGCGGTGAAAAATCTGAGGCCCTGTCTGCCAGAACGAAGTCGATGCCAAGGCCAGAGCTGAGCACCTTTGCCAGGCTAGCAGAATACTATCGTGGTATCCGTTACAGGACCGTATCGTTGTGGTATAGTAAACCCCAATATGGTGTGAATCATCCCCTTCGAGGGGCCCTTATTATTCTGGTTCTGGTAAAGTATGCTCAATATAGCATCTTAATGTCACGGTTTGGTTTCAGGTGGAGGCAGCCGCGGAAGTCCTTCCCACTGGCGAAGGAGTGCCACGATTTCCCAAAGGGTTTGGGGCAACAATTCGCCGGGGTTTGCAGGGGTCGGAGGGTGCTTGGGGAATTGAGACAACAAGTGGATCCCAAGGTGCCAGACTTACATTTAGCGTCGGTAGCTGTGTTATCACAACAGTATCAGGCAAGATGAACCTCAGCAGAAAGGCCAGTCGCGGTGCGCTGGTGGTCCAGCTCTCGGCCGTAGCCAGGAACTGGACCAAATGAGGAGGAGAGCCGAGATTCCGCGGAGCAGGCGCGAACCGAGGCTTCAGTCTTACAAGAGTAACGAAGCCTCCATTCAGGCCACGTTCTTGGAGTTCACAGCGGTTGAGTTTCTGGGGTTCAATGATTGACTCGAATGGGTGTGGAGTCTAGGAGGCTGTCGTCTTAGGACTTCCACGTCCTGTGAAAATTATTAACTTCAGAGGCTTTGATCCCTTTCAGAAGGCTTTGGCCCAGACATGTTCGTTCGGGCTTCGGGTCCAAGAGCCTCGCCAGTTGCGAAGACTTCGGAGAGAGCCCTGAAGAGCAGGAGCAGGATTCGTATTCAGGTACGGCTTTGGAGTTTAGGGTTCAGGTAAACCCTAAACCCTAAGATGCCATTGACCCGCCAGGATGAGGCGGCTCGCCGCGCCCGCGAGGCGGCGGAGGAAGAGGCTTGCAGACCGCTTCGGAGTGCCTTAGCCCTAAACCCTTCAACCAGGTCAACGAATCTACCCGTATTTGGATATTATGTGTTTTATATACAGCGTTATACATTACATGTCTGTACACGCTTTACTATACTACATGTTTTTGGCGGACCTGCCGTTTGCAGGAGCTGAAGCGCCAGAAAGCGCAAGCCGAGCTAGCGGAGCGGGAAGAGAAACTCCTCTTCATGCCCGCTGCCCAGGAGTTTGGGGTGGCAATTTTTTCATCCTCTTCCGGTGCTTTGAAGGCTGTTTTCCTTCCTGGAGCTTTTTTTGATGGTGTTCGGCTTTAGGGTCCAGGCCTTCAGGGTTGTAGGGCTGGGGGATGGTGATACTTTAGGACCCCAATTTCAAGTGTACCTTGATGAGGGCCAACTTGTTGATATGGCTCTTTGCACTGCGAGGGGTCCCAAGCCCTTTTTCAAGGGTTCTCCAAATCAGTTTATGCCTTAGAGTTTTCCACTGTATTTTACTGTCTAGTATGTTCCAATATATTCTGGCATATTCTAGTATGCAATACTTGTACGCTAGTACGGTCTATGACGCAGTATTTTAATATGTTACCAAGGATGACGAAAGGCGCAGCTGGGAAGCCGCTCGGCTTGTTTCACGCAGTTGGGGTTCCTGAGCTCCCCTGGTTTAGGGTTTAGGGTTCAGGGGCCTGAACCTCCAGTAACAGTGACACAATCGCCTCCTTATAGCCCTTAGATAGTAATAAGGATGACAATCTTAAGAACAGTGTTTGCCCTTGGTCTGCAAGCACAGCGTGCAGATGGAGATCGCCACCCTGAAAGCTCCAAGCTTTCTGCGAGGCTCCAGCCCCCGAAGCCCGAAGACACGGACGTGGCAGAGGGTGACGAGGGCAGCTCTGCGTCGGCCAGGGGCGACGACACCGTATCTTGGCGACAAACTGATAACCTCAGGCATCTTGGAGTCCTGCCTCGCCATGCCGACAGGCGGCATAGGTTGAATGTCTTGGATTGAAATCTCCTTGAATTTTGCACTTGCCCATATGTACAAGACCAATTTAACAAACAGACGCAATCTGTTTTCGTAGATCAAACCGGTGCTGAGAAACTTCTGGCTCAAAGGAAGACATCGAGAGGGTGGTCAGCCTCTCGACTCAGACATGAGCGCAGAGGCACGGGGTACAACCATTTTCGTCAGGGAGCCAACCATCTTCAGTCATAGTTTGTCGTTGACGTAAAAGGTAAAGGGTGATGCATGCAATGATGCTGGTTGCTGTGAGCCGCACCTCCTCAAATAGCAGTTCAGGGCCCGGCCTGTCCCGTGTCCTGGTGCCAATCGCTGATCACTGGCAGTCAAGGTAGCAAGCAGCGAATCCATGTCTCAGACTCTGCAGGGTTTGAGGCTTTAAGTGTTTGAGGGCTTGTGGCAGCGGCCGTTTGTCATGACTTCCAAGGTCAGCCTCTGTCGGGCGAGGTGGGGGCTACAGCGCGTGCTGTGGAGGCGTTGGGCCGAGATCATGCTTCGGGGTCAATCGCCTTCCTAGTGCACGATGTGCGGCGAACTATGCAACGGATTAGGTTTTTGTCCGGATGAGAGCGGAAAAACCCTGCCTTCCAGGCCCACTGCTGTGACCAGCAGTGCGCAGTTAGTGCTTCAATAGAACCGTCATTCGTCTTCAAGCCGCTACAGGCATCATCATCGCCCGTGCCCTCCTACTCACCTTGATCATCGCCCTTTCTTCTGTCTGCGATCGATCCAGGTGCCAAGTGCCAAGTGCCCGGAAAGCCCGGCTCAGGCCCCTGCTGGCCGGCAAGTGCCCGGGATGCAAAAGTGTGCCCCGCATCGGACACGCCAGCACACGTGGGCTTGAGGATAGTTTGGGCGAGGAGCACCCCCTACGGTTATGGGACATTGAAGACTCTAAGAGGATTTCTTGATGCGAAGTATCTTCCCCTGCAACTCCCAGGCGCTGGATGACGAGCTCCTAAACACCATCGAGCTTCTAATGGAAGCCTACAGCCGCTTGTCTCGATGGTGACTGTGGATCACAGGGTAACGCAAGAGAGTGCAGTCTGCTCTAGCTTCAAAGCGCCGCTCTTCTTGGTCGTCTGAATAACTGAAAGTTCAGAAAAGGGGACCAGTGTGGAGCTCACACCGGAATCCAAGTGCAGGGCAAGCAGCAGACTCCTCGAGGCATCTAGCGGTCGGAATGCCCAGAGCTTGACTCATTTGACATGCATCCAGAGGTGACCCACCCAGCCTCCGACGAATCCCGGCACCTCGAATAGCCTACTTGAAGGATCATGGGATGCATAGCAACCAGATTATGAACAAGGGAGCTGTACGTATTAGCTACAGTTACCTATAGTCCATTTAGACGTACTTACACGCGAATTCACTGAGTCCCATGATCCTCCAAGTAGACCCTAGATCCTAAGCCCTATAGATGCCTTTATGGATCCCTGAAAAGGTTCGAAAAGGTTAGAAGAGTTAGTTGCCTCCAGTGTCTCCTGAGGCGCCAAAGAGGTGGAGGGCCGAGAGCTGCTCGAAGCGCGGGCGGCAAAAGGTTCGGTTGTACAAAATATGGTACTTTACTAAAACATACGTATATAACATGGTACATGTATATATATATATATATATATATATAAATATGAACACATACATCCATAGAAATTATGTGTATGTGTACATATAGATAAATAGATATATAGATATATAGATATATTCACATATAGTACTCATGTAGGTGGTCTTATTCTCGTCCTTTCTTTTCCGGGGGCTGGGGGTTCTCTTCCCTGGCGGACACCCGCTGCGCCACTTCGAGGTGGCTATGAAGTCTTGTCCTTGAGACCAGCAGACGTTCCTTCGGGAGTCGATTTCTTTCGGTGCCCGGCAGAGCCAAGGAGCCGTTTTCGGAGTTGCTGGAGGTGCTGAGAGGTAGCGAGAAGCCCACAGACTTGGAGATCAAGGCTCGAGTTCTCACGGGGTGAGGGCGTTGAGGCATAGCTTTCCACCGAAAAACAGCGGCTTGTTGGTAGTTCCATGTTCGGTTCCTATCTATGCGTCTTCAGGTAGCCCCTCAGGGTGACGGGGACGAGGGGAGCTGGCCGATGGAGAAGCATCAACAAGGGACTTGTCGTCTCGTCGTCCTATCCTGCAACCCGTACGGTCAGCCCGATGCTGCCGAAAGCCAACCTCCATGGTCGGTCTTTCCAGCGACAGCGGCTCCTGGAACACAAGGCAGATACTCTTCAGTCGGAGACTTCTGCCAGCCTGCTCGGTCTTGCCAGGAAGTCTTGGTTGAGATGATGGGCATCATCGAGGAGGCAGGCATGTTTGAGAGATAGGGGAATGAGGTGCATTGGCTTTGCAGATGGTGTTGGCCCTTAGAGGCTTCAGACGTGGGGGCCCCTCAGCCTTGAAGAACCCCCTTCTGCCCCTACCCTACACACCATCCTGAATGTCTGTGTAAGCTTGCCCTGCGCGCGCTCCTAAAAATTTGCGCGCTTCTTCCTACGCAAAACCCAAGAACGCAGAATGAACTCACGTTACCTATGAAACGTGTGGGACGTCCTGGACTCAAGCTCGAAAACCTGCGCCCTGGTGGAGGAGGAGCGAGGTTGCCAACTTTAGAGGCTTCTCTGCTTCGCTCTCTCTCGAGGAGATAGGGTTGGCTTGAGTTTTGGCGGCTCGAGTTCGACATTGTTCCGAGGTCTGGGTGCAGAAAACCCCACACCCGAGGCCAAAAACCCATCCAACGACTGAGAACTCTGGAGATAGAAAGACAATGTCAGGACCTGCTAACGACACGGCCGCCGTTTTGAGGCCGTCTGTAATCGAGGTTGCTCTTGGATCCATTGTGTTTTTTTGGGGGTGGAGTGGTGCAGTTCGTGCCCTAAGACAGAGCGGCGCACAGCATGTGCAGCTTGCATAAATCTGGTTGTTAATAGTAGGGGGGTTCTCGGGCCAAGTTTGGTGAAGTTGGACTGAAGCTTTGGCAGGGAGGCGGGCAGGCAGCAAACAGCCACATTTACTCCATTTCTGACTCTCTGTCCCTTCCTGTGTCTCAATGATGGCCTAACCTGTATCAACCTCAGCTGCGAGCATGGGAAAGAGTTCACCTGGCTTCTGCAAAACAATGCCCCAGTCCCTCGAGCCAGGCGCTCCCGGCGCAGAGCGGCGCCGCGCTATTGGGCCATCGTAGACATGCTGGTGTGGTAGATATCGCAAACCCAGAGAGAGTTCTCATGAAGGGGGCATGACCAGAACATGTCGTAGGTGGACTAGGGAGCTTCAAGTTCTCGTGCAAGTGGAGACCTGTGTTTCTAGTTCGGACGCATTCCTTTTGATAGCTGCCGTCGAACGGCGTCCTCAGCTGCAGAAGACGCGGCATCGTGGTCTGCCTGACCCAAAATTTGCAGCATTTCCTGAAGCCACGTCCATCTCCAATGGCTGGGTTTACAGTTGGGGCCATTGTTGCAGGATTGGCTTCAAGTTGGCATCATGATTCAGCAACTTCCTCAGCTCAGGCTTCATTGGAACTTTCATGAGTCCAAGTGCTGCCAGCTAGTAGAAAAGCAACCGTTTGTCAAAGATGACGACATGTAAGGGCAGACCAATATCAGGCAGTAAACCCGAGAGCAAGCATCACAGGACCACTGCGACGCACTGCACTGTTGTTGTCTGGTGAGTAGGATAGTGCTTCTGGCCAGTTGTAGTACTAGTATGCCATGACAGGGTTTAACAAACCCCGAGCGAGTTGCGCGTCGCGGCCCTTGCGAAGGCTGCACTGCGGTCCTCAGCTTGAGAAGAGAAGTCCAGACTTGCATACATCAGCTACACCAGAAGCCAGAAGCGCGATACCATCGAAGCCTTTCCATGGAGCCATGGGGAAGCGCGGCAAGGCTTCGCACGGCCGAAGCTCGGCTTCAGTTCATTCGCCTGCGGCTGCAGCAAAGCTACGGAGCTCTCAGAGCCCTGGGTCTTCGTGCGTGCAGTCTGATGTCCGCGACTCGCTCTCTTCTCTCAGCTCCGGCCCTGACGAATTAAGCGAAGCGAAGCGAAGCGAAGCTCTCCCAGGAAGCAAGGCCCGGGGAAAGAGCAAAGGCCGCCTTAGGGCTGTGGGCGGTTTTTCAGAGCTCTTCGGTGGAAGGCTCAGGGTGCAGGTCGTTGGGTTTCGTCTTCTTTGAGTTGAGGGTGTGGCGGGGTCACCGGGGCCTCCTTGCGAGCTTTGATGAACATTGTAGAGCGGATCTGTGCCCACGGCCAGGCCCCGGTAAGCCCAGCAAGTCTGGCAAAGGTGGCAAAGGCGGGGCGCAGGGACTCGGGTGGGACCCTAGGCAATGTCGGAAGCCAACAAGCTGGTATAGGGGCAGTCGGGCGTTGTAGCCTTTTGAAACTTCTTGAGGTTCTTTTGTATCTTGACTAGAAATAATGAGCACTACATGCCCAAAGGAAGAGATTCAAGCTGGATGTACCTTTTTGGCCAGTTTGGCATGTCTCCAAAGACGTAATCCAATGATCCACTAGACGCTGCTGTGCGACCGACCCAGAAAAGAACCGTTCGTCCCAATTGCAATCCTAAGAGACTGTGTGTACTGAGCCTGGAGTAACATGGATCCCTGAATGCACGGAACCTGGACCCCGAAGGTGCATCCGGTAGGTGGTGCCGGCCATGCCCCATCCAGTGACACCCGGCCCCGGCATCATGACACGGTGCAGGGCTGCTATTGGGCAATTACATCCCTTTCGCAACCCTTGTGGTATTACAGTAACTCTATAGACCCTCTTAAGGGGAATCCCTATCGCACAGCAGATCGTCTCGGCATGCTCAGGTGGAAGTAGAGGATCCAAAGGTGTCCTCAAGAAGGGAAAGCTGAAAGCCGAGCCAGGACTTTCGGGTTTGGGGCTTGAGATTTTGGCGGTTTCTTTCCAGCGTGTGGTGAGGTGTGCCAGAGGTGTGCCAGTCTGTCTGCGGACCTGCCGTGCTTCTTGCAACTCACCGTGGCAAGCTGCATTGGGAGACTAAGCACGGAGAACGGAGGTCGGAGGAGACGAAGGAGATCTAGCCATTCCTGCCCAGGGTGGGCCTAAGGGCCTTTCGGGGTTCTATACTTTCTCTACCTGCCTGCACGCTGCCAGCAGGTAAAACCCTAAAGAA